AAGGGGTACGGATCGGGGAAAGGTACGAGAGATAGAGGAGACAAGAGCGGTGAGAAGTGACTGTCGGGAGATGGAACGGTGTGCGGCGAACGATGCGATGGTGCAATAACTTTCGTCACCGAGAATTTCCAATATCACCGTCCGCAGTTATTGACGGACCGTAAACACGCCGAATGGTGATCTAAAATCGCGCGGAAAATGAGGATGCGTATATACGATCAATGACTCGCGCAGTGGCCGCTGATAGCGCAACCAGGGTTCGGGAAAATATACGCGCAATTATACGGTACTGCTGCTGTGCCGTCACGGCCATTTTCATCGATGAGTGATAAATCGCATCCTCCGCGCGCAAACTCATCCGCGGAAAGGGTTTCTTCTGTTAGCCGCGTTCCCATCCGCGAATTCGAATCGAAATGTATTATATATCTGGAAATGCGGCGCGCAGACTTGCCGCTCACATTAATCGTTGTTCAATCCAGATCATATTATATACCATCATCGATCGTTCCGTTTATTAAACAACGTTCGGGATAACTGCGTTCGCGCTCGGGAATACGCGAATACGAGATTACCGCGAATGAGTAACGAAGGAAAAGCAATTGTCGCGAATATCGAATATATTCGAATGATACATTCGGAGTTTTACGACAGGGAAAAATATATAAATACGTTTCACGTATGTGGAGCATGAAAAAATTTGATTTTGCAAATGTTATATACGCGGAATAATAATCAATTCAACGTTCAAATAGTTATACGCTGTAAAATAAAAAAAGATAAATTTTTTCCTAATTCATTTTCTAATAACTGCTATTAGGACCTCAATTTGTTTCTTTCATCATAAAAATTTTTCTTTAATCTTCCTCGATTGATAGCTCGATGAAAACTGAATCTTGTGAAAATCAAAAAATTACAAGAGTAAATGTGCATAAATGAAGAACGTCAAAGGTTTAGAACTTCCTTTGACGTTTAACCAAAATGAGATGTCGACAATAAAATGAGGAAAGTATAAAGCAAGATTCTCTAATGCGTACCTCGCGGTGTCGCGCGACAAAATGGAAACCATACTTCAATGGGAAAACTAGCGCGTAGCACGAGAATTACATTAAAAACTCGCGTGATCTTCTGCACGAAGGTTAACTGCATCAACCTTCGTTCCGCGTGCGCGCAGTAACGTTGGAAAATAACAGTGTCTCATTAAAAGCGGGTCGGGGCACAAAGGCTTAGACGACTCTTACGAGAGTAGGTACACCGGGTCAAACTCGATCAACTATTTTTTAATTCGCGCCGAGGAAAATCCATTTCGGACGCGAAAGTTTCGCAAAGTTGTACACACGCATGACCGAATTCCGAGTATCACCGTGGACGAATTAATTAAAACTTTCGGGCCGATGCACTTTGCCGTATTAATATCACTCGATCGCAAGCAAGCACGTCCGAGTCCGAGAGAGCGTTTACAAAGGGGAATATAGTGAAATGAAGGAGCCGCACCTCCTGAGAAACGGCACACGCTGTTAGAAGATAGGATCCTCGACGCTGTGACGCAGTGCGCGGCGTCTTCGGGATAAAAAATAGTGGCATAAATCCCGTAGGAAATCGATCTCGCGTCGTTTTTTTTCCTCGCCCTGGAACCCTTCTCCTTGACACACGCAAGATTTACTCGCGGCCAGGAACCAATTTCACCTCTCCATCCGTCATATATCCACCTGATTAGGCGATTTGTTGCAGCCGGATCCTCCTGGGGAACACGGCGTGTCATCCCGATTCTTTCTCCAGAATCGAGACCGAGAAATCTGGGCATTCGTAATCGATGTCCGTTATTCCGCGGGCATGTTCGAGTTTCCTGCGCTTGGTTTCACTTTGAACGAGTTTTTCCGTTTTAGATATTGAAAGTAAAACTTACGTACACACATTTTCTATCGGGATATCGATTCGATAAGTGTTTATACTTGTGCAATTTATCATGAGAAATTAGAAATAGCAAGCTAGTTCACTCAAGTAAATAGTAAATAGAAGTAGTATTAATACTTCACAGGAATAGTAAATATTATAAATTGATTAAATTTGTTTTTACGGATGCAAGATTACTTCCAATTAATTTTACAAACTCATGATGATGTAATATATATGTCAATGTTTGCACGCTAGTTATATTCCGTTAGAATTATACTGCAGCATTACATCGCATATACGATACGTCACCATCAGAGAACATGTATAATATAGCATTACTAGGTCGCGCTTACATTAATCAAATTTGTCATACCAAAGTGTATAATTCTCTCTCTCTCTCTCTCTCTCTCTCTCTCTCTCTCTCTCTCTCTCTCTCTCTTCTTCCTCTCTCTCTCTCTCTCTAACGTTGCATTTAATTTCTTAACATAGAGCGAATAGAGTACTGAGAGAAGTTAATTTTACATCTCACAGTAAGGAAAGAATTTAAGGATGTTTGAAAAAGTAATCAACCAGTGCATCAAAGCTCACGGAAGTTCGGTTACGCATTGAATACCTTCCCAAAAAACGCCTGAATCCTAAATTCTCTTTATATCTCTCCACGACGCAATAATGTTAATTCCATTAGAGCAAGCTCAATGCTAATCCGCGGCACGTGAATCATCATAAATTACGCGAATCGTGAACGTTATTATTAAAGATAATGAGACAAACGTCAGGAGAGAGAGAGAATTATGTCTACACACAATTTCTCAGTCAACAAAGATCGATTCGACGAGACGGATCCAGATGTCTAGACGCGCGTCCGGCCAGCTGATGTCCGACGCGAATTAATTACTAAACTCGCAGGCGGACTTCAGTGCCCATGCAGATGCAATGTAAAGCTACCCTTTATCCATCCGGTAGAATAGTTTGAGATGCGAATTTGGCTCGCAAATTGCATTACATACGCGGGACACGTCACGGCGAGAGTCTTTCCTCCGACCGAGGCGCAACGCGGGAGCATCCGGGCGCGGCCGTGCCGATAAAATTCAGGACTGCGAGCCTCGGGACGGCGAATTTTGCTGCATCGGGCGCGTCGTGTCGCGTCTCGCGTCGCGTCGCGTCGACGGTAACCGGGAGGACGGGCGAGCCCGGGGACTCGTTCCATCGGTCTCCCTCGTCTCGTACGTCTCGTCTCGTCTCGTCTCGTCTCGTTCCGTCCCGTCTCTCGGGCGCGTGCGAGAGAGTAGTGTACAGCAATCCCAAAATATTCCGGAGTGGTGATATTTTCTGGACATACGCAACCGACAACCGGTCGCGTTCCCGCGTACATGCGCCCGGGCAATTTATACCGGCAGCCTTTTGAATTCAGCAAACGGCCAACCGGGCGCGGAATTTTAAACAATTTGCCGCATGACAGTTCCTACAAGGTCCGTGAAATCCGCACGGATTTTACGTATCGCGGGAGAGGGCGGGGGCGAATAGAGAAAAAAAAAGATAAATAGTTATAAAAGATATATTGGGAGTTATGTATATTTCATACACTCTATGTGCATAGTATTTTGTGCTAAATATTATACACGCGCGAAATAATCTGTCATTGCGTATATATCGTCTAGATATCTGACTAGACGTTTAAAGTTCTTTTTAAATTATTATATAGAAAAGATCGAGACCAACGTCAATCATTTTCATCAAGTGTCTATCTAATCGAAAATTATCAGGAATTATCGCGAATCTTTTATATGGAATTTCAGTCACGGCTTAACCTCAATAATGAGATATATTGGGAAGAACAAATTGATCGCCGCTCTAAATAAAGGAATGAATTAAAGGTAATTTTATATTTAAAAGCAGTAATTTTCGCGACATTTAATAGTCACCGAATTCAAATCAACTAAATTTCGAACGTGTCAGATATAATTAAGTATGCAAAAATAGCATGAATTGATCATTTCTATCCATTCCAAAAATGTAACGTGCAAATGCCATGTTAAAAGTTTCTCATCGTGTAGTTTAATTACAGGAAACTCAAAACATAATATTCCGCAGAATTATAATGAGAAAATTTCGATTCGAAACAATTGACACTTTCGCTAGCGTGTGATCGATCGATCCTTTTTGAATGCGACAAACGCGCGAGCGCGATCCGAATCCGTTCAGCCGTACATTGTTACGAATGCAACACTCGCAATATGCATTCTTCCGAACGGTGCTCTGGAGGGCGTAAAACTGAAAATAGGCGCGAGATGCAGACGCGCGTTTTTCACAGCATTCGCGTGCATTCGACGAAATGTCATCTCGAGAAGAAAATCCGGTTAAATCTGATATATCTAAAGCGCGGCCGAATAATAAAAACGCGCGCGCGTATAGATAAATCTTTAGTCCGTACCAATCAAAACTTATATATAACTATACCGTATTTGGCACACACGGTTGCGTTGCGATTTATTTTATTGGCTAAAATGCTGAAGGTGAAAGTTTCCCGATACGCGCAATAGTTTAAAGCTTTACGTCAGCTATTGTAATTTAGCCCGTTTGACTTGTATCGAAAATGTATCATCTTATCCCATAAATCATCAGCGCCAACATTTCGAACACGGCGCAAGACCAGCATCTAATCGCCGTATGTGGCAATATCCGTGGTGGAATATAACGCTGATAAGAGTGCTGAATCAAATATATGGAGCAACCGATACGCCAAGTCTTATCGCGGGCGACTCATTGATTTATCATGCGTCGAGTACTCGCTTCGTACGATAATAACCGATAACGAGCCGTAAGGTAAATTTCTAGGTATAACGGATCGATAATATTAGCTTTCATTTCTGTTGGCGCTTCGCAATTTCTATGTGTGAGCCAGCCATGTATAATTACGCGCTTCGTCATTATAACATGCATCGTGTTAATAAAAAATTTTAATCAAAAATGTGTGTCTCTCGTAAGTATACGCGTACTAACGCGCACAGAAATGCATACAAGCTTCAGCTCGGAAGTTAATTTAATTTCAGAGAGATATTGTTGTAAATATATATATATACAGATATACGCATATACAGAATACTTACCAGAGACGAAGAAACGCCGGGATGATTAATGCTTCCAGGCTATTATAGTCGCTTTCGTACCACAAATAGTATTATCCCATTTACGGAGAGCAATCTGAAACAAAAAGATGTAATCGTAAATTAATATATAGCTAATTTTATTAAACAAGATATGGATGGATAATATTTTTAGTATCAACATACCGGATTTTTAATGATAACATAGTTAAGAAAATACTTTAACGACCCTTGCGATTCTACCTTTGGGTATATCGATCGAACACGTGACTCGGTCACGAAACGCACGCGAAACATATTTTCGTTTTAATCTCTTCAAGAGTATTAATACTTATGTGTTAATTTTAGTGTATGAAATCTTTTTACGAATAGTTAATTTTAATTCACACTATATAGGCTATATATGGTAGGTATGTCTATATTATTTTTCTAAGGTTTGACATTTTTTTACATTTTTCTGTTTTGTTTGTAACAATTATAAATATATTTTAAACAAATATAATTTAAAAAAATAAAATATTTTCCCGACTTCAAAAATCCATCCATGAAAAGCTTAATTATACAGAGAAAAGCAAATTCACTACAACATTATTTGGTGGTTTCTGTGTCGTAACTAAATTACAAAAAGTATAAAATTTTCATTGTATCTATGCATGTGTATGCGTAGGTATGTGTACGTGATCACAATTAACAAAATAAATTATAAATGCAAAGTCTAAATACATGCACATAAATTAAATGTGCGCAAATATCTTTATAGGCTTTTAAGTAACAAAACCGAATGTTGCACGCAATAATAGTGAGTGCAAGATATAATCGTATTATATTTTGTAATTAAATAATGGAACAGCCTACACACAACAACTAATTAGCACTTAATAGCGAGATGGATTAAAATATAAATATCGTACATGCCAGCATTGTTATGGTAAAATTATATCTGCGTTGATCTGGAACAAATTAATGCCCCGAGCTGATCGTTTTTATTTTTAAAGCTGTGTAAATAATAACATCACTATCGATAATGTTAAATTGGAGGAGATCGTAACACATGAATTTTTTTTTTAAACAAAATTTTACGTCAAAACAAAATTCGCGATATAAAGAAAATCTTGCGAATAAAAAATACAAATTGCATTTAACACAAACAGTAAAATGTTAAAATAAATGTGTGTATATATTTATATAAAACAATTTTGTAAAAAAAAAAAAAAAAAAAAAAAACTAGTTGTAAGATAATACAATTCAGTGTTACGTTAACGGATCAATTCTCGCGAATATGACGCAATCTTTTTCTCTAGCGATTTTATTGTTGTGTTCATCTTTCTATGATTGTAATTGATTTAAAAAGAAGGTCGAAGTTTACCAAGTTCAAAAATAAAAGAATACGGCCATAAAGTAAAAAGCAATAAAGAGTCCAAAAAAGAATATTGTATCGAATCAGAAAGTCATGAACTCTGTTAGCTCATATAAATATAAATAAAAATGAAATTTTTTTTAAACGCCAAGTTAGTTTTTAAATGACGCTATCAAAGAAAGTTTATGAGATTTTCCAACTCTTCATTTAAATTCATATCCGCATTTAATTTACATTCGCTATTCATGCAGGCATGTATATGTGATGGGTTTTTAAGATTTTAATTTACACTTTCTTTGTTTTTCCATTTGTAATATCATTCATAATAATTTTATTCCCATATTTAATTATTGCTTGTTATTTTTATAGCATATAAATTAAATCTCTCACCATTAAAATATAAAATATATATCTTTTTCTTTGTAACAATAATTTTACTAATTTCGTATATTTCATTTATATAATACCTTTTAGAAGAAACGCATATATATATAATACATATAATGATTTTATTGTATATATTTTTATGGTCTGTCTCCTTCTTTTTCTCTCTCCTTCCCTTCTTTTCTCTTTTTTCTTTTCTTTCTCAGATGAAAAAGATAATAAAATATTAAATATCAAATTAATAATATTTTATATTTTCCAGAAATATGTTAAAATAAACCATGAGAAATTAAAAATAATTAATTCTATTTACAATAATTTACTTTTATTTTTTATTAGAAATATGATTTCGCGGTTTCTCTATGATTCTGTATATATACAGAAAACATTAATTATAGTTATAATTTGATTTTCTTCTATAGCAACGATACATAGCTTTATGCAATTGAATTTTGTGCAATATTATTTCAATATTCTTAAGATATTTATACATCAGAAAAAAAATTAAATATTATATTTTTATTTAATAACTGCACGTATATGTAACAATAAGATTTTATCTCTTTTGTATTATTTTTCGAATATTTTAATCATATTCTATTACAGAGAATTTAATTTTAAACTTTATGCGTTTTAATATTAACATTTTTAAATATGGTATTTATTCTCTCCGTCAATAAATATTTTACTTTATAAAATAGAGACAAAATATCACAAAATTAAAATATATAAAAATAAAATATTTTATTTTAAAAACGTAATATATATATATATATATATATATATATATATATAAATGTCAGAATTAATTGAATGTGAATGATATGAAAAGTCTAAATCATTATTTGCTATAATAATATTTTTCTTAGCGCAACTTAAATTTTTTTAACAACTTATAAAAAACTTTTTATTAGTTCTCAACTTTTTTCTTATATTTTGCTTATTTTATATTTTATTTTATTTTATTTATACCAAGAAAATTATTTGCGTAATTTATGCGCTATAAAGAACAATTTTTTCAACTCTTACAACAAGAGTGGAAGAGAATGCACAATAGTATACAAGTACACTTTTTAAAGATAATTTTCCTATGTCCAGTTATGAGCTGCAATAAAATATTACAATACAGAAGTGAATTTTAGGGAATTCGAAATCTATATATTTAGCGAAAAAGGAAACGATTGGATTGAAAATAAATATTGGTAAAATTTTCTTCGGCGTACGAACGAAGAATGAATCAGTATATATATATATATATATATATATATATATATATATATATATCGGGAGAAAGCTACTCATAAATCTGCACGATGGTTATGACGAAGCGTGACTCGCGACATAAGGGAGGAAAAGTAGAGGTTACAGATTGCGAAGTTGAGGGCGGATCTCGGTGGCCGACCGACGACGCAGACGACGGCTACGGCGGACGGGATAAAGAATTCGGAATTCGATTCGACGATCGTGTAAGTTTCTATGCGAACGAGCACGGCTCGGATTCACTTGCACATACGTGAAGCAGGCTCGGAAGAAGCAGCGTTTCGGAGAACTACGAATCTTATTGAAAGTTCTTGCTCGGCGTAAAGTCGCTCTTCAGATCTCGCTAGCCTGGATACATACTAATAAAATTATCAGTTTTTCGATAACTGAAATAGAATTGAGAACAGCCTCTCTGCTTTGTTTCTTTTAAAACAATGCGATTTTAATAAGACTCGAAATATGGATGTATACACATTACCTAGTTTACAAATCTAACAATTAAAATATTATTGCAGCGATATTTAAAGTCATCTTAAAAGTTCTAATTTCATTATGTACGAATCTCTATAAGTATCATAATGTAAGTATATTAGATTATGCAGTTATATATTCATCTATAATTATAGATTACCCTTATTTCATTTTATCAATCGTTTTAAATAGATCCTTGATAAAATGATTATTTTTTCTCTTCTCTCATCAAATATTTTGTAATTAAAGAAATAATTAAAAGCTATATACTTCCTGAAATAGATCATTAACTTTAATTATTGTAATTAAAAATGAATATACTTTGTTATATCTTTCTATCTCTATATTCAATAATAGTTCATAAAAGTAATGCAGTTTTAAAAGGCAAATAAAATATACATACATATATATATATATATATATATATATATATGTTATATTATATTATGTACATTGTTATATATAGTTGATTAAAAAACTGCACAAAATTAACTGAGATCTTTATAATATCTAAAATGTGTATCTAATAAAATTTGTACAAAGGAAAAATTTCTCCCAAAATTGACCGAAATAGATTTATAATAAAATCCGATGTGTTAGCTATAGGATATTTATTCCATTTCGTTACATTTTCCAGCTCACTAGTATATCCTAAAAGTCTTCAGGAGCTATCGATTTTGCGATTTAGGCAAAATTCATTCGGTCCCAACGACGCACCGTATATTTGCGCGATCGGGCATGCGCCATATAAATAAGGTCGGATCGATAAGCCACGCGGAGAGAAAACGAGAAAGAATGAAAAGCGCACGAGATGCGCGATCGGACGGCGGAAGTAGACGCCGGCATTTTCCTCTCTACACAGTTCCTTTGCGCGCGTACGCGTTAGTGCGCCGTCCGGGGTCTGACAAGAAAATCTCCGGTATCGCGGTTTTATTCCAGCCAGACGTTAACGCGCGTACGAAATCCGCGTAACGTAAGGGCGTCGTGATGTTCGGGCGAGAGAGGGATAATCCTTGACGGGAAATAATTTATCCTGGCGAAATCTCGGACCGAAAAAGAAAGGGAGAAAGATTGGGAGGAAAGGTAGCCGAAGATAGGTACATACGGCGGGCCATTCCGGCAGGAAGAGCAAGCGGACAAGTTTATATGAATGAGACCGCGAGTATTGGTAATCCTGGCCTGTATGAAGTTAGCCCCCCATTTTTCGAATTTTAAAATTTTAAAGGTTGTTCCAGGTTGTTCTAGACTTGTTCTAAATTGTTCCAAAAGATCAAATTTAAAAAATAAAAATTTTCGCGAAAAATGGAAAAAAACGATTTTTTGACCTGGCCCCCCATTTTTCGAAAATCGAACTTTTAAAGGTTGTTCCAGATTGTTCTAGTTGTTCTAAACATTGTTCCAAAGTGATAATTCCCTAAACAAAATATTTCACGAGATATAATAAAAAAATAGTTTCGTGCGCTAAAACAGTATTTTTACGTTTTCGGCTATAGTTATTATCTCTTAAACACCAAACTGTATATTTTAGCTAAAAACGAACAGAACAACCTGGAACAACTCTCAATTTTGCTAGAACATAATTTTAAAGAGTACTTTACTCTTGGAAATAAACATATTTTTGTTGT